AATCATGAAATAAAATTCAAAGTCCCGAAATAAACCCTTACATTTTTGATCAATTTATTTCCAACAAGAATGCCAGAACAGTTCAAAAGGGAAAGAGTCATCTTTCTGAAAATGGTGCTCCAGCAACCACATATGGTGAATGTTTAATTTTTTAATGTATTACAGTAAAATATATATTGCCATTAATCCTTCTCAAAATATTCCCCCTGGCTTTGACACATTTGCCATCATTCTTGGCCTTTCTGAAGCAATTCCGGAAGTCTCTTCTGGATGTGTCTTTATGAGGTATGATCCAAAAACGTGGTGAACGCTGCTGTCAGGGGCCATCCAATGAAAAAGCTGGCTTGTAAAAACATGGTAATGTATTGTCATCTAACTTATTCCCCAGTTCTGGCACTGTGTGACTTCTGCCTCTTTTCTACAGTAAGAATGACCATGAAAGGTAAATGTTTTTACTCAATTCAGAATATTGAGGCAGCCACAACAGTGTAATCAAACACATTCACAAAAGAGGACTTCCAGAGCTGCTTCAGAAAGTTGCAAGAATGATGGAATAAGTGTGTTTGAAGCAAAAGAGAGTATTTTGAGAAGGACTAATGGCACTGTGTCTTTTACTGTAATAGTTTTTAAAACTTAAATATTCACCATTTTTTTAATCACACCATGCAGAATGAAGTTGGACTCATACATCACATGATATGGAAAAATTAACCCCAAATGGATAAAAATACCTGAATATAAGATTGATACAATTATAGTACTCTTAAAGTAAAATATAGGAATAAATTTTCATATTCTTGGGTTAGGCAATGATCTTTTAAATTTCGTAGACTATACTCTAGTCTATGCTAATTAGAACATTAGATTTAGAGTTTTATACCATATACTTTCTTAGACACTAGAGGCATAAGATTAAAAAAAACCCCACAGAAATATATTGGACTTCATCAAAATTTAAAACATTTGTGGTTCAAAGAACACAAGCAAGAAAGATGGACAACAACAAGTGTTGGTGAAGATGTGGAAAAACACAAATAATCAATTGTTTCTTGTAGGAACACAAAATATGCAGTACTTTGGAAAACTGTTTGAATGTTCCTCAAAGTGAAATTCAGAGTTACCATATGGCCCAGCAATTCTTCTTATAGTTTTATAACCAAGAGAACAAATATAAAAAAAGTCCAGATAAAAAAGTGCCCAGGAAAATTTACAGTGTGTTATTCATCACAGACAAATGTGACACATCCATATGTGGTTTATTATTCATTCATTCAAAAAGAATAAAATAAAGAATGATACAGAGATTTAAGAATTGAGTTCAGCAAGATTGTAGGATACAAGGTCAATGGATGAACCTGGAACATATACCAAGTGAAAGAAGCCAGACATAAAAGACCATATATTATATTATGTCAAATAAATGAGCTATCCTAAAAAGAAAAATGCATAAAAACAGAAGGTAGACTAGTGGCTCCCAGGGGCTGGGAGAAAAGGGAAATAAGGAGTGACTGCTATTATTTACAGAGTTCCTTTTTGGAGTGATGAAAATGAAATGGAATTAGTGGTAGTGGCTACACAACACATGAATATAATATAAATCATTAAATTGCAACTTTTAAAAGGGTAAATTTTATGGTACATAAATTATTTCTCCAGAAGCGGCAGTAGCAAAGGAAGGCATCAAACACCAGAACAAAATATATCGAAACTGTCTAAGTGATGGAAAAATAAGTGAGATTCTTCTACTTTTCAGATTTCCAACATTCTAAGCATGGCCATTTTTATAATAACAATAAAACAAAATACTCACAGCTTATAACTTATCCTCAGGTGGACTAAACCCTCCTTTGCTTCCTGGGACATGGTAGGAAGTCATGTCAGTTCTGGTAGTATTAGACTGAAAAGCATTATCTTTTCCCATCCTGTGATAGTTCCTCTCTTGAAAAGGTTGAATTTCACTGGAATTTCCAGGACTTTATTTCACACCCTTCTACCAGCCCTGTAGTCACCTCTGGCCTTACCCTTCATCCACAGTGACAGTCAACACCAGCCACCACTACCACCACCCCCGCCCCATACTGGGCATTGAATCCAGGACCTTAGCACTGAGCTACATCCCCAGCCTCCCTCCTTCCCCACTTGCCCAGCATCACAGAGCCAGGACTGCAATAAGGGTGCAATAAGGGTGGCAAGGGCCACTACCTCCACCCTCAACCCCTTCGCTATAGTGGCTGTCTCTACAGGCCTTGTACAATAGACTTAGGAATTCTTATAAAAACTCCTGAGCAGCTGAAGATTTGTGGGTTATAAATTCATAAAGCTGATAGTCTATTGTCCTTTCACTTGTGCAAACTAAGAGTGTTTAAATCTAAACCTATGTGCAACATGTTTATACCAAATAAAATTGAACAATATTTGTACAGCACAATAACCAGTTCCTAGCTTCCTGAGCCAGGATGACAGACCCAGGGTAGAGTTTATTTGGGGAAATAACTTGGGTCCAGGTGTTCCTTTTGAAAGGTGGAGGGAAAAGGAACTTGTAATCAAAGCAGTTAGCAACTCTCCCCAGAGCAGTATTCCATCTCCTTGGGGCGCACCCTCCTTTCATAGGGCAAGTGGGAAAATATCTGTGGTGGCACTTTGCTTTAAAAGTTATCCGTAAACCAGGCATGGTGGTGCACACCTGTAATCCCAGCTACTTGGGAGGTGAAGTAGGAAGATCCCAAGCTTCAGGGGGCCTGGGCAAGTTAGTGAGATTCTGACCCGAAATAAAATCAAAAGGGATGGGGCTGTCAGTCAGTGATAGACTGCCTTCCTAGCAGGTGCAAGGCCCTGGATTCAATCCCCAGTATTAGAAAAAAGTCATTTGGAATTGGTCTTGCAGAGACACATGGGTGAGAATAACCTTGATGTTCCATGTCACATAGTATAGCCACAAGGATTTTAAGTCTGAAAAAATGTAAAAGTAGCATAATCAATTCTGTAGTTTAAAGGTCCAACCCAGGAAGCCTCCAGCTCAGCTGCCTTTGCAGGTAACCACTGCCAAGGCCACCTTGCTATTGTCCACATGTGTATATTCATATATATTCACAAATGGTTATACTATGTATAATATTTTAACTTGATTTTTTTGCCTTGCATTCTATAAATTTTATTTTAGTTTCTTCAATAGTATTACCTTTAAGATCTATCAGAATTAAAGTTTAAACTCCAATTTTTGTCTTGTAAACTGTCATTGGGAATGGATGTTCCTATGCCTTTTGACACACTGTGATTATTTCCCTGAGCCGTGGTCTTGGATGTGGAATTGCTTGGCCACAGGGGCCACACATTCTTAAGTGTAATAAGGAGACACTGGAGGGTTTGAGCTGGCAAATGACATGAAGCAATTTGGATCTCTGAAAGCAGAGTGGGTTGGAGCAAGCAAACTTGCAAGGGGGAAAGGGTGGAAATCACCTGGCCTGGGGCAGAGGTTTGAAGATGGGGAGGCAGTTGGAGTTGGAAGGCGTTGGGCACAGAGGCAACCTCGCTTACTACTGGTTTGGATGTGGGGCTTAAGGAAAGAGAAGACTCAAGGACGACATTTAGGTTTTGTTCAGTTGGACAGATGTGGGGCCATTCACAGAGATGGGGAATGCTGGAAGAGGAAAGGTTTTGAGGATAAGTCGAGGCTGCACATTAGGTGCTCTGTTCTGGCTGTACATTGCATTGCCTATTAGAAATTCATCTTCAGATCCCCAGGAAGCAGCTGGATCTCAGAGTCTGGAGTTCAGGAATGAAGCCAAAGCTGAAGGTGAGCTTTATGGAGGGAGTCACTGGGTAAAAATGGGGTTTGGAGCTGTGGCAATAGATGTGATCACTTAAGAGAATCACTTCAAGTTTAGATACAGAGAACTTAGGAAAGAGTTCAATGGAATTCTGACACTCAAAGTCTAGCAGGCAATGAGTCAGCAGTGGAGACTCAGAAGTGGTGGGAAACAAAGTCAGGAGAGTGTAGCAAATAGAATAATGGCTCCCAAAGATGTCTGGGAACTGAGTAAGTTAGGTGACAAAGGGGAACCAAAGTCACAGATGAAATTAAGGCTGCTAATCAGATAACCTTAAAACAGGCAGATTATCCTGGACTTTCTGGTCAGCCCAATGTAACCATTAGGGTCCTTAAAAGGTAAAGGAAAGGCAGGGCCGAGAATTTAGCTCAGTGGTGTCATGCCTGCCTGGCAAGCTCAAGGTCCTGAGTTCAATCCCCAGTACCAAAAACAAAGGTAAAGAAAAGGCAGAAGAGAAACAGGGAGAGATAGAATGACAAAAGGGCAGTCAGAGGATGCAATGTTGGTGACTATGAAGATGGAGAAAGAAAGCCTCTTTAAGCTGGAAAAGGCAGGGAAATCATTCTCCCCAGAGTCTCCAAAGAGTAATGCAGCCCTGCTGAGATCATAATTTTAGCAACAAGACCTACATTGGACTTCTGACCCACGGAATATGATGAATAATAACTTCACATTGTCATAGGCTACCAAGTTAGTGTTGAGAAGATCATGGACACAGTTTATCTTGTATATTTTCACAGAAAATTTCAGGCTCAATAAATGAGGTAATGTGTAAGAAAACAATGTCAGGCTCACTGTTATACCACACACTGTGTCTCTCAAAATTGTCATATCCTTGTTCTTAATAATCTATAAGCTTGTATTATCTACCACTTCATGTAAAGTTTTCATCAATATTGACCATCTTACTTATCTTTGCACCTGTTAAGATCTGGCACAATGTTCATACATGGCAAGGTCTCAGCAAATATTTGCCAAACCATTGAATAAATGAAAGTATTATTTGAGAAAATCCTCTATTTAGGATTTTCAATGTTGATCCCTTTTTAAGAGATCTATCATTTTAAAATCAGAATGTATCCAAAGCTTCAAGAAAGTTTGAAAATATATCAAAAAGAAGAACCACAATAACAACAATAGCAGTGTAAACTGATCAATATTGATGGTATTTACCCAGCTCGTCTTGACAGAAGCTTCCTGGAGGATTGATGTACTTCATGGTGCTCACATCTAACTTCCAGTTGTGTTTTGTACATTTAACAGACCTAGATGAAAAAGTTATACTTAGGTTTATAAAATATCATAAATAAAAATTAAACATGATTGTGTTTAAATGCATTGTTTGACAATGAAATTAGTTTACTAAACATAAAATACATGAAAAATTATCGATAGTACTCAAAAATCCAATAAAATGTAGAGTAATCAGTATGGAATTTTAAAAATCAAGATGAACTCAATGTCACTAGAATGACACATGTTAGAGATTGACAGTGACAACAGAATAAAGTTGTCTTTGAAATAGAGTGGTTTCTCCTGTGCAAGACAACTAAAAGAACACGGTCAGCTTGTCAACAAAATAGAGTAAAATGAGAATCAGTCACATCAAGGCTTTAAATGATCAAAATCATTTAAATATTTAAATATTTTAAAAATATCAAGCTGACTACAAAAACAATATGAATTCTTGCAGATAATCCTTATACATAAGTTACACAAGAATGTCTAACCTATAAAAATAAATCTAGGTAAGACCTAACTGTGACGAATACACAGAAAGAATATAATAGTACTTATTTATGATTTACAATCTCTCTGTGACCCTTAACCTCGAGAATAGTGTTCAGCTCAAGTTTTCATATTTTGAAAATTTTTTTTTACAATTGAAGATCTCAGATACAGGAAAGATTAAAAACAGTAGAGTAAAGACCAGTAGCAAAATATAGCCTCTCTGGGACCTGAAATGCAGACATCTGGAAAACAACAACTTGGTGACGAGAAAAAGATATAGATCTACAAGAATCAGGAGGGAGCCAACAGGAACACTAGAAACTACAGAGAAGCTGTAGAAATTGAGCATAAAGTAGAGAAAAGAATGAAGCAGTCTGAAACAGTAACTACAGTCCCCCGAGGAGAGGGACTATCTCCACCAACACAAGATAATCCTGGAGAGGGTTGGCAACCTCAGGGAGAAAGAATAAACTGGGCTGGCTATGATATCCCTCAAAAAGCTCATGGTTATTGTGAACTGCAAAAGCCATATGAGGTTTTTACTTTGAAAGTAACTCCTTCCACAAGGCATGGTAGAGCTTAAGAAGAAATCCATTGCAGTGCCCACCATATTTGAGATGGTTTAATCAGGAGCCATTGTGAGAAGAGGTTAATTGTTAAACTGAGCTAAAGAACATATACAAAACTATGCTTTAGAGTTTTTTGGGGTCATGGTACCACAATGATTGGGTGAGAGATGACAACAAGAGACAATCACAGAGAGGCTAAACATAGATCTTCCATGAAATTTAAGCTCAGGGTGTGAAGGTCATAGGGATCCTACCCACCATGGCAAGAAGCCAGTTGTGGGGGGGCGGCTCTGAAAGTGCTGGATTAAGTGCAGCTAGAGGACTGCTTGACCCCTCAACCCCACCCTGCTTCCCTGCTGCCTACATCCAGCACAGCACTCAGTGGTCTGTGTGCTTTCTTCAACTGCCAATGTGATTAAGGATATGCCTCACCTTAGATGGTTGCCACAGCATGGGGTGCATGGATAGAGAGGCCTCTAAAGAAGAGGGGCACCTCAAAAAACCATAGGCCATAAAGCCAGGCAGAGAAAGCAATTGGGGGACCCAGTGGGACATGGAAACTGGGAGTAGCAAAAGTGAATATAACACTAGAATGGATATCATTTACCACCATGCCCAACAGGAAAGGGGGTAGGTGCATCACTGAAAAGCAGGCACTAATTGAAGAGACCACCATGTGAGCAACAAAATCTTCACATTATATCAACCTGCAAACCTCAGTGCATGCACACATGCACACAAACACACACACATGTGCACGTGCACACGTGCGCACGCACACACACACACACACAATAGAAATATGAGAAAATAAGACCAAAAAATGCCTCCAAAAACTCCCAAACCCTCAAAGCTGAGGCATGGGGCATTGATTAAGGCAGGCTATGGGGGATCAAAACCAAACAACTGAAATATAACAAGTGATAAAAGAAGGGACCACAAAAAAACCCCAAATTGATAAAGTGATCAGTGTGCTCAAAACTGACATAACAAAACAGATAATAGATTTAATAAACAAAATGATCAGTGAGCTTAGAGAAGACATTAATTAAAAGCCAGTTGAGCTAAATAGAACAATACAAAACAGAAAAGACTGGTTTAGCAAAGAATTAGAGTCCATGAAAGGCACCAAACAGAAATCTAAGAGATTAAAAAAAAATTCTGTTGAAAGTATGGGCAACAGAAGTAACCAACATAAGAACAGATTGTCAGAAATAGAAAGTAGGGCTGATTCAGTTGACTATGTATTCCAAGATAGCACAACAACAACCTGAGAAGGTGGAAAATGGATCCAACAACTACTAGATGACACAAAGAGTAATCTTGGGTTAACTGAAATTAGTGAAAAAAATCAGAAGATGGTACAAATGGCATTAAAACCCTGTTTATAGAAATCAAAGCAGAAAACTTTCCACGTACAGGGAGAGAATTTAACATACAAATAAACAAGGCATATAGAACCTAAATAGCCAAGGTCAGTAAGCCAAAACACTTGACACAAAAATCAAATACCTTGACTCAAAAATAAGAGGACTCAACCTAAAAAAGAAAATTATACACCAATCTCTTTAATGAACATAGATACAAAGACACTTCAAAACTGATAGAAAAAAGCAAAAATCACTTATAAAGGTAAACCCATTAAAATTACAGGAGATGTCTAAACATAAATCTTAAAGTCCAGAAGAACTTGGAGCCCTGTCTCCATCTGATGAAAGCTATTCATGACAAACCTACTGGTAACACCACTTTAAATGGGAAAAAAATAGAAAGCTCTTCCTTTAAAATCAGGAACAAGACAAGGATATACTTGAACCTTTAGCCAGAGCCATCATGAAACAGAAAGAATAAAAGGAATACATATAGGAAGGGAAGAACTTAAACTATCCTTATTCACAAATCACATGATCCTCATGATCTTTATGAACAAGACCTAGGAAATTCCATCAAAAGACCCCTAGAACTGATAAATTCAGCAAGGTAGCAGGATTCAAAATCAACACAAAAAATCATTAATGTTCCAGTACACCAATAATGAACCCACTAGAAAGAAATAAGGAAAACAATATAATTCACAATACTTTCAAGAAAAATTAAATACTTGCCAATTAGTTTAAGAAGGAAGTGAAAGACATCTACAATGCATACCATAGAACTCTGGAAAAGAAAATCAAAGGGGACCTCAGAAAATTGAAAGATATCCCCTGTTTCTAGATAGGAAGGACCAATATTGTATAAATGGCCAAACTTCCAAAACTGATATATAGATTTAATACAACCCAAACAGCATTCCTCACAGAAGTAAACAATCCTAAAATTCATATGGAACCAGAAGAGACCAAAAATAGCAAAAGCAATGTTGGGCAACAATCAGCAGCAGAAGGCAGGTGTCGCAATCCTGGATTTCAAGTTATATTACAAAGCTACAGTAATAAAAACAGCATGGGGGGATGGGCTGGGGATTTAGCTCAGTGGTGCCACTGCCTTTCTCACAAGCACAAGGTTCTGAGTTTGATCCCTAATACAAAACAAAAAACAAAAAACAAAAAACAGCACAGTACTGGCACAAAAACAGACACATGGATCAATAGAATAGAATAGAGGATGCAGAAATAACCCCAGGCACGTTCTGCCAACTAATCTTTTACAAAGAGGTCAAAAACAAATGTGGAAGGAAAGATAGCTTCTTTAACAAATGGTCCTGGGAAAACTATCCATACATATGCACAAAATTGAATATAGACCAATATCTCTTATCATGTCCTAAACTAAACTAAAAATGGATCAAACATTTAAATATTAAAGCAGAAACACTCTGCTGTAAGATAAGGTAGGCAAAACTCTTAAAGACGTAGGCATAGTTAAGGACTTTCTGAACAGAGCCCTAGTTGCACATGAAATAACATCAAGAATCAACAAATGGGATCATATCAAATTAAAAAGCCCCTATGCAGCAAAGAAAAAACCACCAAAGTGAAGAGTCAACCTACAAAATGGGGAAATAATTTTGCCAAATACTCCACAGATGAAGGATAAATACTTACACATAAAGAACTAAAAAAAAAATTAGACCTCCTCCCCCCAAATAACAGATGCAATCAAGAACTGGACAACTGAAATGAATAGACATTTCTCAGAAGAAGTTGTACAAAATGGTCAATAAGTACATGAAAAAATTTTCAACATCACTGGCCATTAGAGAAATGCAAATTAAAACAGCACTGACATTCTATCTTATCCTAGAAAGAAAGGCTATCATCAAGAACTCAAATAATAAATGCTGGTAAGTCTTCAGAAAAAAAAATAAATCTTCTACAGTTTTGGTGGGAATGTAAACTAGTACAAGCACTATGAAATCTTGGAGATTCCTCAAAAGAAATAAAAACAGAAATTCCATTCAGCTCAACTATTTCTCTAATGGGTATGTCCTGAATCCTATTATAGTGATATATGCATACCCATGTTTATAGCAGGACAATTTATAATAGCTAAATCTTGGAGGTCACTTATATATTCATCAACAGATGAATGGATAAAGAAAATGGGATATTTATATACAATGGAGTACTGCTCTGCCATAAAGAAGGATAAATTTGAGTTATTTGTAGGAAAATAGATGTACCTTGAGACCATACAGTTAAGTGAAATAAATCACACACAAAAGATTAAATATTGTGTAGTTTCTCTTATATGAGCAACCCAAAATATAAAGAGCAAAATAAAAGATAGATAACAGGAAACAGGGAGACAGATATTTTGCAAATGAGAAGGGGACCATGAGATGGAGGAAGGGTAGGAGAAGGAGAAGCAAAAAAAATTAAGATGTATTATATATGTGAGCCCGCTGCAGACAGGCAGGTCTGTGGACATGGTCCCAAGGTAGCCAGTCATGCTGAAAACAACGAATCAGCCCGCACCCGGGCAGCAATCCACTGGACCCCCCCACACACACTCCTTTGGCCTCTTCTCTGTACAGCCACCTGGTTCCACACTACAAAGACGCAGAGGACACCAGACCACCAGACCACTGTACTGGAGCTAATCAAGTTCTCAGCATTTAAAGAATTCCTGCCCAGGGGTAGGGGCTTCTGAGCCGCCATCCCACTGCTCCTGGTCCAGAGGAAGGGGCTTCTGGGCCACCAAACGTCCCACCACTCCTGGCCCAGAGGAAGGGGCTTTCAGGCCACCATCCCTACCACCACTCCCGACCCCTGTCCCACCTCTCCCAGCTCAGAGGAGGTGAGCTGCACGGACACCAACAGCACCCAGCCCCCCCAGTCAAAATGAGAAAACATGTAAATAAGTCTCAAAACCAGACTTCCAGATCACCTACAGCAACCCCAAAGGGAAATGAGATGGAACACTCTGATATTCAACCACCTGGACCCACTGAACTGGCAACGAAAGGGGATCTGGAAAAAATGAAATCAGAAATAATTTCTCAGATAACAGGAGAAATTGTGCTCCTAGTGTAAGACATGATTAATAAATCTAGAGAGGAGCTGAGGAACATGATGGAATCCCAACATAGGAAACAAATGGAATCCATAAAACAGATGGAAATACATTTCCAGGAGATAAAAAACTCCATTGAAAGTCTACACAGCAGAATGAGCCAATGTGAGGACAGAATTTCAGACACAGAAGACAAGATTGCAATTAATGACCAGGAAAAGATGTATTATGTATGTGTACTAACTCCCCACAATGAATGCAATCATTATGGACCACAAGCAGGTACTAATAAAAATAAAAATTTTAAAAGATTTCAGATTGTGGTTGTTAGATAAAATACATGATACTCACTAAGGTATGAATTTCAAATAAAAAATGAATAATTTTAAAGGTAAGTGTGCCTCACACAATATTTAAGATACATTTATACTAAATTTTTGTTCACCTATATATTAAATATAATTGATGAATATTTTTTTTTATTTGCCAATTCAGCCATATTTCAAAATAAGCATCAAACTGCAACCAACCAGAATGGTTAGTATCTTTCGCCAATCGACAAAAGGAAAGTTCCCGGAGCTTTGAGGGGTGGTGTGCTTACAGATAGTCTATCAACTGTTCAACTTCTTTTCTTGATTTTGGTAGTGTTTATGGTCTTTCTGTTAAAAGTTAAAGAATTTTGAACCAAGAAATATTTCTCGAATCAGAAGCATCAACTTTTTAAAAAACTGAAAACACCTACTTTAACATATCTGTGAAGTGTGGTAACATTTCTGAGCTTCATAGATCCAGAATTTTTAAATGTTCTTTTTTTAATTATAAGGCAAAATATGTATTCCACACCTCACTTTATTAAGGATTACTTTATGACACCTCCTTTTTCATTAGTGAACAGCAAGCAACCTTTCAAAAATTAAGACAAAACGTTCTGCCACCACTGCTAAACATGCAGGGCCCTGGAAGGTGAAACTGCCAGGACTCTGTGCTCCTGGGTGGCAGGTATAGCAGTACACACACGACAGGCCATGAAAACTTCAGACTTAACAAATGAGAAGCACAGTTCATAAGATTTGTTGACCTTGGTTATATGTCAAGAATGGCAGGTCGATTGGAACAAGTAGGTCACTATTCTTGCTGAATCCTGGAAAAGACAGATGAATGACTGCAAAGAGAAGTCAGGTAGAAATACTGGGATGCAGAGACATACATGGAGGAGTGTAGTATGTAAGTTCCTGCAGAGATGCACTTTCAAGGCATAAAAGCTCAGTGAGCTGCATGTGGGAATGGAGTCAACCAAGCTAGCCCCTCCTTCAGGACAGCGAAGAGAATGGGGAATAAAATGGAACAAAATTAGCATCAGTTACCCCCATGGCTTTGGAGGAAAGAGAAAGGCTAGGGTGTGGTAGAGAAATCACTGTACTTAGATAACCAAGCTACTTTCAAAACCACTGTGAAGTCTTGCAAATAATCCCTGTTCATAAGCAATACAAGAAGCTTAGGGTATAGTTCATGATACTAATGAACATTTATTGTGTGCTGACTATATGCCACCAGAAGACCTTCTCTTAAGTAACTTTTGTATATTTGACATTTCATCCTCTCAGGAACTGGACAAACTAGATAATGATCTCGTCTTCACTTTATAAATGAGTGGCCTGTGCCCCAGAGAAGCTGTGAGGGTTGTTCTAGGTTGTTACTAAGCTGGTGAGTAGAAGAAGCAGCACTCTAACCAGGAAGTTGTGAGGCGAGATCACATATTAACCGCTAAACCTCAAAACCTCCTTAAATGGTCAGCCAATAAACCTTTGTGTGAAAGAGCTAAGAGAAAAGAGAAACCAGAATCTTAAAACTACAACAGGTAGAAAAGAATGTTGACACCCTGATTGCTGCAGAAGTTTATCAGACATAGCCATGTCTGAGGCTTCCCTGGCCAGAATTCAGAGAAAAGGCAGTAAGTGACCAACCTGGCTGTCAGCCCATGACTTGCAGGTTCTCCTAGAGCAGACCTGCCAGCTAAACGTATGTCCTATCATATGCTTTGGACATATTTACCCTAAAAATACATTCACTATTTATCTGAAATGCAAATTTAATGGGGCAGCCATGCTTTCCTTGCCAATCTGGAAACTCAGCAGGGCCAAACAAACTCCAGGTGCATCAGTAGTAAACATTTAAAAATCTAAGAATACATGCAGCTGGGCCATGAAACTATCTGTGTGGCAAAGGAAGTCAGTATACAGGTATGCAAATGTTCTAGACCTAAGTGATTTTCTTTTGTGCAACTATAGCTGGGAATTTTTGAAAAACGACACAGTTCCCTCGGAGAACACCAGCGCTGACTGCCCACAAATTCCCTGAGAAATAAAATTGGTGACATAATGGAAGAAAAGTGCCCAACACTAATGGCTAAAATCACATGGATTAAGTTGGGCTGAAGAGAACTTTGAAAGGTGGGGCTAACAACCACTCAAAGACAACAGAACAGAAGCCTGAAAATCTTTTCAGGCTCCTCCAGAGCCTTATAGCAGCATTGCCATCTCTTCAGCAGTCATTGAAAAGAAAACCATTCTGTCTCAGCACTGCTGCTGTGCTCTAGAGAGGCATGCTGGATTATGGTGGAGGACAGCAAAAGCATTAGCTCTGCTAAAAAATGACCAGAAGAGTCGTTAGTGAGGGCAGGGCCAGCTGGGCTTCTGCCACTTTTGTTTTGTAATCACAACTAGGCTGCCAGGAAAATCCTCTCTGCTTTCCAGCAGGGTTTGGAAATGTGTGCCCTGGCCCACCCCTCTCAAGCTCCTGGGGGACAAGGAGAGGGGACTTCTAGGAGGTGACTGTGAGCCCTCCCCACGTACAGCCAAACACTCAACACAGAAATGCATGGAAACTAAACATTTCATTCTGTATCAAGCTGAGAATAAGTTCAGGACAAAAAACTAAGCCCAACCTACAGTTCTGAGATCAGAGAGATCCTAAATGAAGAGTTAAAACTTTCAAAACTACTACAGGAAACAATCGGCTGATTGGTTCATTTTAAACTTCTAGATGAGTACAATGCCAGTAGGGTTGCCAATGAGAAAGCAAAAGATGCTTGGTACCTTCCATCTAAATCCTCAATGTCTTTTATGAACAGGCCTCCTTGGTGTTTGCACAAATTCTTGCATGCCTTCAGGTCACCCTTATTCTTGTACAAGATATAGTCTTTGCCAGTGCTCTTATTTCGAAAAAAATTGATTCCTTCTTTGAGATTGGCAACTTCAACAGGCGACAGATACAGCAAGGTCTCAGTTGTTTGATTCAGGCTATGAAAAGACAAGCATTTCAAAGCGAACATTAATAATATCAGGTAGGATCATTGGGAACTGACAGCTCACAGCTCCTCCTCCAAGCACCCAGGCTTAGTGGTCACCTAGTGGGGCCCTGCCTTCCCCCTTCCAATGATGCATTCTTCCTCTGAAGGTTCCTCTTTTCTTTCCTAAAGAACCCAGACATTTCTCACTTGCCTGTCCATCCTCTGCCGGCTCCTGGGTATTTCCAAAGAGTAACAGTTGCTCTTTCCGTTTCTGTCGCTCTTTTGCTCCCACAAGGTGTCAGTCTGCCTGCAGAGAGAATGTTTACCCCAGATCACTATTTCATTTCCGTTAGTGCTATTTCCTCCCTGTACCACACCTCTTTGACAGCCTGACCCTGTCTATCTTCTGTCCCAAGCAGCTGCAGCGCTTTCCCGGGCTCCCACTTTTGCCCTGTGCTCTGACTGAAGATAGCTCCCTTCCTTCATCTCTCACCACCATCTATCAGCCTTGAGGCCCCTCCAGATATGGCCTTGAGCCCCTCCCAAGTGAGGTCCAGCATGCTGCGTGTGCACCCTGCCCTGGAAAAGGCTGAACACAGCACCTAGGAAGCTGCCTGCTTCCTCACACAGGGAGACTCTTAAAGTACTCAGTGTTGACTCTGAGTTTTCTCTCCCCACCACTTAGCAGACGTGGTATGTCCTCACGAGCTAGCTATTTAACAAGTTAACCCTCCCGTGACACTCTGTTTGAGTAACTTACAAAAAGCTCCAGCAGCAAATGAAGCATTGGAGCTTTTATATTTTTTCAACATTTCAGATTTCTCAAAACCCTATTGATAAAGAGACACTCTTTGCAATGCAATGCTGAATGGAATATCAACTTTGTCAAGAGGGTTTTCAAAATATATCTTTTTGCATAACCATGATACAAAATCCAGATGCATATTGTTTAATTTTACCTTTTAATCTAGACTGGCAGTGTCCAAAGTTATCTTCTCCTGTTAACTTAAAATTGGTTTTGGAGCTCAAGCATGCTTCTCACACTTTTACTTTCATTTTAAGAAGTACGGAATTTTCTTAAACAGAAAATAAAAACAGCTGTTCTTCATTTAACAACCTACCTGTTTAACCACTGTTTGTACTTAGGATGGAGGCATGCTGTTCAGACACATGACCCGCTGCTGCCACTGTACATCTGGTTTATAGAGCTTCAATGTCTTTTTTGTATGTATACCTTGTTTCAACCACACTGTATTTTTTTCTGACTGTACTGTATAGTACAGTACTGTAGTTTTATGTTCTGTTATACATTATAGTACTGCATGTAAGAGTTATGCAAATAAAACAAAGTCATCCAACTGGAGTTTCCTTTGACCATTACTTTATGCTGAATATTGTATTGTACGTACTGTATACAATTCCTCATTTAGTGACCAATTCAGTTAACAACCTTATTGCAGGAACTGAACTCAATCGTTAAATTAGAAACACTGTAATTGAAAAATATGCCTGCAAGGGGAATAGCAAGCTACTTCCAATCCTAAATTGGGGAAGGTAACTTTGTAATTATGACACCCCACCAAGCACATTTAGCTATGAACTCTAGTAGATTAGTCCACCGATAAGTATAGCACCTCTATGATCTAATCATCTCTCCAGGAGTTTCTTAATGCAGTCATATTGACAATTAATGTGAACTGGTTATAGTGTGGAAAGTGATCAAATATGTTACATGCATATTTGAAAATGTCAAAATCAAATGCATTATTTGTTTCATTAATATGCATGAATTAAACATGTATACATAAACTCATATATATAGGAGCATAAATTTTTTTTTTTTGCCTTAGACTCTGAAGTGACTTCACATGGACCTGGAAATAGTTGTAGTTAGTTCATTGTGCTTTATCATACCAAGCTTGGAATCTATCACAGAACTCTGGCTGTTTAATCTATTCAATAAAATAAAACAAAACATCTGAAGAGGTTATCCTTTTACATTTTTCATTATTCCAGGAATTGCCTCTGTGCTTACTTTGGCTTAGTATTAAATATTTGAACTCACAAAGTAGAGTCAAAAAAAGATTAATGAAGCTTATAATGGATTCCACTCAGGTTCATTGAAAATATATTTTTGAAATAATTTTAAGTCATTGTGAACAGAATTACCAAGAATTGAGGATAGAAGTGACCATGAGAATCTTCTTCTGGGTAGGTGTGCTGCAGCTCCCAGTGTGGAAGAGGCTTCCAGGTAGGTGTGCCACAGTTGTCAGCACAGAGCAGGCTTCCCAGTCAGCATGCCATGGCTTCAAGCCCAGAGGAGGATTCCAGGACAGCATGCCATGGCCTCCAGCCCAGAGAAGGCTTCTGGGTAGGCATGTCGCAGGTCCCAGCACAGAGGAGGCTTCTGGGTCAGCGTGCCATGGTCTCCAGCCCAGAGAAGGGTTCAGGTCAGTGTGCCACAGCTCCCAGCACGGAGGAGGTGAGCCACGTGGGCATCAGCAGTAACCACCCCCCACCCCTGTTGAAATGAGAAGACATGTAAACAAGCCTCAGAACCATATTTCCAGATCATGTACAGCAACCCCAAAGGGAAACAAGATGGAACACTCTGGTACTCAACCACCTGGACTCCCTGAACTAGCAATGAAAGAGGAACTGGAAAAAATGAAATCAGAAATAATTTCTCACATAACAGCAGAGATTGTGCCCACAGTGCAAGACATGATTAATAAAACTAGAGAGGACACAGATAAAAAAAATGGAGGAGCTGAGGACCTGAGAAACATGATGGAATCCTAACATAAGAAATAAATGGAATACATGAAACAGATGCAAACAGATTTCCAAGAGATTAAAAACTCCATTGAAAGTCTGTGCAGCAGAATGAACCAA